TGAATTTGAGTTGGAACCGATTGGAAAGTCCAGTCCCTTCATTCCTTTCCATAGCGATATCTCTAGATATCTCCAACAATAAGCTTTCAGGGTTAATTTCTTTCGTGTGTCCAAAGACTCCGAACAAGGTTAGTTGTTTAGCCTTTCTTGATCTCTCAAGCAACAATTTGTACGAACAACTTCCTAATTGTTGGACACGTTTTGAAAATCATGCATTTCTTGATTTGAGTGATAATGCTCTTTTTGGAAATATACCCAAATGCATCAACAATTTGGCTAAAAAAGGAAGTTCAAGTATAACTGTCTATCATATCTATAATAGCTCAATTGTTGGACAAGGTTATTTTGAGGAAGCATCCTTGATATGGAAAAGCAAAATGTCCAAATACAAAAGTACTTTGGGGCTTGTAAAGAGTACTCATATGTCGAGTAACCGATTAACGGGAGAGATTCCTACGGAAATCACTGATCTTGTGGGGTTGGTTACCTTAAACCTATCAAGAAACAATTTAACAAGTCAAATAACTCCAATGATCGGGAAATTGGAGTCCTTACAGTCCCTTGAACTGTCAAGAAACCACATATATGGCGGAATACCAACAAGCCTTTTTCAAATATATGATCTTGGTGATTTAGACTTGTCAAACAACAACCTGTCTTAAAAAATTCTAATGGGGACTCAGCTCCAAACCTATGATCCATATGATTTTGTTGGATATCCTCTGCTTTGTGGAATTCCACTTCAACAGTTATGCTCTCCTGAGGAATCAAGTCCAAAGGAGCAACCAATGTTTAGGGATCAAGTTAAAGAAAATGATGGGCTTATACCACAGGGTTTTACTTGAGTTTGGTGCTTGGTTTTGTTATTGGATTTTGGGGAGTTTGTAGGACTTTGATATTCATCAGGTCATGGAGATACACATACAAGAAGTTCTTGAACTGTGTGTACGATTGGCCTTATGTGAGGGTGGCGTTGATCAGGCGACGAGGAATGATTGATGGGTAAACTATAAGTACTCTTCCACATAATGAATAATATTATTACAGTTTTGAGTCTATTAATACGATTGGCTAAGTGCACTTTTATACAGAGAACTGCAGTATAATGATATGGCATCATTGCCATCATGGTTAATATCATTTTGGTCTCTACAATTGTCTTTAAATTATGACTAATATATGTTGTGGGTTTTTTGAATCTTTTTAGCTCGTGCATCTACCATTGGTAAGCAATGCTCCCTTTAAACTGGAGAAGAAGGAGATTGAAGAGTGCAATTTGAAGTTATAATTTAGTGAAAGTGTTGTGTTTAATTTAGTGGCCTTTTTGTTTTTGCAATGACGTTACTTAGATTATCGTTGAGGGGTTATAAATTAGGTTCTTTTCATCCTCCTTTACTAAGTGTACCAGTTGATCCTTTTCAATAAATTTCTTTGAGAAACTTGCAAGAACTTACTAATCAATTAGTTACAGAGAGAACAAGCAGACAGATAATTCAATAAAAGATTGGATACATTAACATTGAGAACATCATACATTTAACAGATAATTCAATCAATATATCTCACATCATCAATTGTTGATTCTTTACAGTTCAAGTCTGATCAGACCGCATTATCTTGACAACCGAGAAAAAACAATTCGAATTATTAAAATCTGATTCGAGTAAGAGCTCACTACTGGTTTAATTGACTATCTCATCATTCATTAATTCTCATTGCCACCTTCAGCCAACGTAAAAAATGAGGGTTATCGAGTGCACCAACTGGGCAATTAGCATGACAAACGTTGCATGCAGCATTGCAATAACGTAATGGAAACTTCATTTTCGTACACAGCGCCCCCAATAATGCATCGGTTCAGCTGCGCAATGTTAGAAAAACAAAATAAGGACCATATTTGTGGGTTCCAATTCCAAATCCAATTGCCTTTATAAAAACAACATGAAAGTACAAACCAAAGACCCCATTAAATTTTTTCAGATTCATCAAAAACCCGAACATAAAAGAACAAAGGTATCGGAAGAGAACCATGAGATGAAAAAAAAAACACCTTTTCACCAATTGAATTAGAAGGTCCAGCTTCAGCAGCAGTCTCCATCCCCAGTTGACCTAAACCATGTATCACTTCAAGTGCACTTGCAAATCCCATGAACACAGCAACTAGTAACCTTGCGAACATATAAGTTACTAATTTCAATACAAAATTCGTTGTATAAACACGAGAAGAAAAGCAATGAAATTTCAACATAATTAACAAAACACCAAAAACTCACCGAAAAACACATGCATGAGCTCTAAAAAGGTTTTAGAAAACATGTTTTTGAGGCTATTTACAGTGACCTTATTCTTTATGCCAACACCAAACTTTAAGTTCATGTGGAAATCTATTTATACGTCGAGTAGCACACATCTGTAAATATTTTATATAGATAGTGTGCAAATTTTTTCTTTCAGTTTGTTGTATGCTTATGACGTGATAAACATATTAAAAGTTTGCGATTTAATATGATTACTCACTCCCAAATGTGATTGTTATTCTATTAATTCGCTAAAATTTAAGGTTGTGTGTATTGTTGTTTTTAAAACCTTTTGATTAGTAATACAAAATTGAATATGAGCTCTTCCATTTGGTAATATCTTAAACTGCTTAAAATATACATCATAAGCAACTATGCTTACAAACTTCAGCACTGTTAGAAACAATAGGCACTAATCTACAATGGTTTCTAATCTTACTCAAAGCCTCAAATGCACCCGTGTGTCACATGATTTGAAATGTGCAATTTAATTATGATGTATTTGAATTGTTGTTTTCAAATCTTGTGTCACACAAGTGTGAATGTTTTAGATTGATGAATTTTACTCATCTAACGAGATATAAACTTGTTTCATTCCAAGTGAGTAATTAAGTAAAAATAGTACTCATGTGACCAGCAGGCAGCAAGGATGTGAGACATCTCATATGCATGCAATGGCTATACTTACAAAACTAAACGAAATGTCGTCGTCTGTTGGCTGTGTTAAGGCCAAAAGCGTGGTCGTTTTGATCAGAACATTTCCGGGGCAAAAAGCCAAGGAGAAAGATTGAAATTCTAAAGAGTGAGAGTAAAAGACTGGGGCGATGTACAAGAAGAAGCCGCTATGGGGCGAGGGAATAACACCGAAGGCCTCGTCGGAATCTGAACCAGACCGCCGTCCACCGCCGTCGGTTATATGCTAAAACCAAGTTAGCTAAAATTCCTCAAGCGAGTCTAGAAACCCTCGCATTAACAATAATCACACAATAAACGAATAGTCTCAAATGAATAAAACGCAAGGAACTGTTGTCGCTACAAGACCAAAGATCAATAATAATATTCCAATAGTATTGTCTAAATGACAGTGATATTCTTCATTAACAACAATTTAGCATAATTTCAATGCAAATATGTTAAAGTCGGTCAATTATTGTGTGTCTTCTAATCTAATAACTCCAAGACTAAATTTGTAAAGACCCCAGTCGCAGTGGAGTTATTCGAAATACGGAAAACTCTTGAGAACTTGCTTGAAGTATCGCATGGGGTCCAAGTCAAGACAATACATTTCTACTTGCATCGTGTAAATTTTGGTTTGCAGGTCCCCATTGTTTTCAACTTGTAATTTACTTTGAAACGTGATTAAGGCAAATGACAAACGAAAGTGGAGAAGAATCATCTATGTTGTGGGAGTCATTCATCTTTCCTCTTATTCTCCAAAACGACTTGTGACTGTTTGCAACTTGTCTAAAAAATAAATGTGAATTTGTCTCTCAAGAGTTGAGGCGTTTTCCGTGTATTTTAGTCTGGTCCAAATAACGTGAATTACACATTCTGACTGTTTGCAACTTGTTTGGAAAATAAATGTAAATTTGTTCTCTCAAGACGTTTTCTGCGTTTTTTAGCTTGATCCAAATAACGTGAATTGCGTGCATATATGTTGTTTTCTAATTCCACATAAAAAAATATAATAAAAAAAAACCAAACATACTTTTAGAACGTAAACAAAACGAAACAATCAACGCGAAATTGTGTTGTTTGTTGCAGGTTTTGTCATTATTTTGGAGACGAGTCATCCTCTCATTACTACACCTACCTACAAAAAAGTAGCTGGTCCACTCGCAGCTTTCCTTTTGATCCTAAATCAGTTCTTATTATATAGTTTATAAATCAACTAACCTCTCCCAACGCACATGAGACTTTTTTTTTAATCACGTCTTTAAAAGTGTATTGATGCGCATGCAAGAAACATTTTTATTATCATAGACACTACGTGCACCTATATCCCAAGTGCCGTTGAAACGACATGTCATTTGAAATTGGCCGTACTTGTAATTGCATAGGATCATGATTATTGGCATAAAATTACTATAACTCAAGTTCACTTCACAATCACAAATGATCGTAATTGCATAGGATCATGATCATTTGGTATTGGCAGTACTTGTAATTGCATATGTATGTTGAAACAACATGTCATTTGGTATTTGCTGTTTTTTTTTAATAAAAAAAACAATATTATCTATACTAAAAAATAAAGGGTGGGCTTAGTCTAGCAATAATGTGGTTCAAATTCGCTTTTGTCAAGAATCGTACGTAAAACCTCTTACTTACAAGTGAATAGGAATACCACTAGACTGTACTATTAAGTGACAATAGTTGTTAAAATGGAACAATTTAACCAAATATTCAAATATGTTTTTCTAATTGGCAAGAATGGAAATAGAAAACTTGGAAGCAATTGTAATTAACAAAAGGTTTGTGCAGATGGAATCTAACAGAATTAGCTTTCTTACCACTGATCAATCCAAAATATTGTTAGGCAAAAGAGGAAGAAAAATAAACGTAAAACCAAAATGAAATTAAAATATAATGCAGAGCACCCATCTCAACATGTAAAGACATGATTGCCAAACCAGTTCACCTTCCAAAGCCAACCAAAAAAGAGAAGTAAATTGTATATTCCACATATATATATTAACAATTTAGAGAGAGAAATTACCAACCTGCAAACTGCAAACCACGTTCTGATTCCTCCCCATTCTTCAACAGAGCTGTCTCCAAAGGCCTCACCGTTAGCGGCTTAGCACTGCGAGTGAAATATTGTCATCTGTTTGGTTGCTCAGGGCCTCACCGTTAGCGGCTCCAACTCCACATCCAGGCACCGGTCAAATTCGAACTCCCACCATCTCAGTTACGCTTCTCTTCCTCTCTCTCTTCAATCTCTTTCTCTCTCTACTCCCTAAACTCTTTCATCTATAAAATTCTCAAAATTCAACCTGCCTGATGAATTGATTGATGGTAATTTTGATTCAATTTCAAACTTGTGAAGTTGCAGCTCCAAAAAGGGCAGCAACGCCTTGCCCTGCAACTCCAGCTCCATCACCGACCACCTTCTTCAGCCTCCACCAACTTGTTAATCAGGTTTGTGTTAATCAGGTTTGATAAAATAATGTTAATCAAGATTTTATTAATTTTTGGATTAAAATTTGGCACTTGGAGTGGATTATGGAGGTAATTTTTGCTTCTTTGCTCAATGTACTTCAAAGGCGTGTCGTCACTTTAGAAAGATGATCTGGTTTAGTGTTCTGGTCTTGATCTTAATGCATCATGCGTGTGCTGCTATTGCCCCAACTTTTTGAACCTCAACTTGCTTAACTAGTATGCAGTAAGTTTGGTCATAGACTAATGGATTCACAATTCATCTCTTATATATTGCATAAGAATATCTGGGTCGCGTTTTCTGTGAGGTTTTAAACAATCTAGCTTATGTTTATGTCATGCGGAATATATTTTTCTTAATTGAAGCTTGCTGAATGCTTGATTGCGTTGTTGACTGCAGAAGTCGCCGTGTGACCCATGCTTGACACACTGCTGCTTGCACTGGTGGCCCTTGTGCCATGAGCACATGGAGATGAAGGGATAAACCCCAAAGATGTTGGGTTTAGTCACACTACAGTATAGCACTGGTGAATTGAAGGTAAGATGCCTTAAAAATAAGTTATTTGAGTATTATAAAATCATACTTCTTCAGGTTTTTGTTATATGGAAACATTACATATTTATGGCATCAACTTGTGTCCACCAGTGTTCTTTTTCTCAGCCGAGGAAAATTGTTAGAAATTGCAAAACTGTTGGGATCTTTTGCTACCCTGTTTGAGTTCCCACAAATGAATCACATTTTCTTGAATCTTGCTCATTGAGTGTTTGCAGCCAACCCTCTAATTGTCAATCTCTATTTATATTCAAACTTGTACTTCTATTCTTAATACATTCAATTTATCCTCATAAACTATTGCGGGAATTATAGTTCCCAGTGATTGATGTTGTGAAACAACTCTGCTGCTGTACTAGTTTTGTTTTCCTTCTCTTTTTTGTTTATAAAGTTAACAATTCTTAAAAAGATACAACCCCTCGTTTAAAGCCACTACTGCTTCTCAATGTCAATCTTGTTTTTTCTAGCGGCCACAATTGGTGAAAGGAAATTTGCAACTGTTGTCCGTGGATTAAATTTTTATTTTTATTTTTTTTCTTGCTGCAGCTGCGGCTCCACTGTTATTAACAGCCGTTAGCGGCGATTGTTAGTCGCTGGGAGAAGGTGAAATCTATTGCTGAGCTACCTCAACTCTCTTCAGAACACAAGGCAGCCAGCAACCACTGAAAGCCAATTGCCGTATACACTCAAAATGTTGCAGAGTGCAGGAAGTTATGGATTTTCTGAGTTCTGAAAGCGAATTGAGAGTGCTGCAAATCAGAAATGATGTTACACGAGGATGTGTCTTCGGGGCCAAGGAAGCGAAGGACAACACATTTTGTTGTGTAGTTATTTTGTAAAGGCTGGTAGTATTGCATTCGTTTATTCTTTTTCCTCATTATTGCAATAAGAAGCCCAAGCTGAAGAGAAATAACAGGTTGAGTGATATGAATTAGGATTTGTTGTTGTAGGTTCTTCTTGGTTGTGTCTCATTTTTTGTCATCCATTTCAAATGAGCCCAAAAAGAAGGGACAAGAAATGGGAGTGTAAAGGAAAACTAGAACAAGAAAGAACACGTTCTAGTTTGGTTTTGTTGTTTCTTTGTTTTAGTTTGTAGTTAGAAGTTGAAATCTGGTTATAAGAATTGTGAGTGTAAAGGATAAGTGGCTTAAATTCACCTGTTATATTTTTTTTGGAATTGTTTCATTGATTTCTCAAATTTTTCCTAAGAATTGCTTATATTTAGCTTTGTACCTCGGTTCAGAATTGCTTAGGTTTCTGCTACTTTGGTGTTGGAATGAAGCAAATAGCATTTAATATTTTTTATACATCATTGGTTTTTTTTTCTCTTCATTATCTTGCTTCTTAGTCTGACATTGCACCAAACGCTTCACTAAATCAGTCCAGCTTAGTCTATTCTAAGCTAGTCCAGCTTAGTCTTAGAAGTTAGTCCAGTTCGAGATAGTCTGGTGTAATAAACATACCCCAAAAGTATTCAAGTGGGACAAACATTACATCAATCACTTGAATGAAAAGGAATGAACTGAGTTTGAATTACTTAATTCTGATGAAGAAAGTTTCTATAAAAGGTATAAAAATAGTAAAGAAAATGTCACTCCACTCAATACAAATTCAGTCATAAAAAAATTATAAATTAAACTCGTCATTCGCGTGCCGAATGTATCACCAAATATCTTTTTAACTGAATAGTTTTTTACTTCCAACTAGAATTCTCCTTTTCAATTGAAATACGTAAGATTGAGGTCCTACCAAGACTCGCAAGGCACCTGACATTCTCGCTCCTTAAAAAAAAATTGAAATCGTTGATTAAACCAACATGGAGAACTCAATCCACAGATGACTCTTCCCTCCATTATCTCATTAGACTGTTCTTTCCCATTTTACCCCTCTTGTCAAGTCTCACTTTTATTTACCAATTGAGCTCCTCATCTACTTTTTGTAGTATATGTATAATGTATTTAGTATTTGACGAGTTCCTTTCAAATAGTTTTTTTTTTTTTTTTTTTTTTTTTTTTTTTTTTTCCAACCATATCAGAATGACAGAATGGGGTGGTGGATTCTCGAAACTAGCTGTAGTGAATGTTGATACCAAAGTCTAAGCATTGAGGTAAAACATCACTTACAAAGCCACAACTTATATGAAATGGGTTAAAAGTCACGCAGCGTCTTGATCTATGAAACGAATGACATGTGTTGAAAAAAATTACTTGTCATTCTTTTGTGGAAAGAGACGTCATGATGGTAATGAACTCGTTCCATGTATTAGAGTACTAGATTTTCATCACCACATACATCAATTTCCTCGTCACAATCTTCAACATTTGAGTTTAAATCAGCAGTCCACAGATGAGATTGACCAAGCTTCTGCTTCATTGCAAGTTTTCCCTTTCAGTTTCAGAAAGAGTTGTCATTTTGGTTAAGTGAATGACGATAGGAACATGACTGAGGGCATTGAAGTTTAAAGCGGTAAAATAGGAAAGAGATGACCGATGAGATAATGGAGGGAAAAGTCATTCGTTGTTTGAGTTCTCCATGTTGATTTAATAAACAATTTCTATATATTTTTTATTTTTTTTTATTTTTAAAGAAGTTGTTCCGAGCTAGAATTGATGATGGGATAAAAATACCAAATGCCTAGCGAGTCTTGTAAGCAATTATCATAGCCTCAAACTCATAATTTGGATCGTAATCTTTGGATTGAGGTCGGTGGTAGACTAAGATAACTTAGTGGTTAACTCACTCAATAAATTGTTAATTTTCTACGCCCCTCATATGAAGTCATGATAGAGAGCTCAGTGGTTGACTCCCCCAATAAATTGTTCATTTTCTATGCCCCATATAAAGTCATGATTGCTATATATATTTAGTCTTTGTAGTGTGTTGATCTTTGGTCTTTGTAAAGTTATTACTCTAGTTTTTCCAAGGAATATAAAGTAAGACACTCTCAAGTTTGAAATACATGCAATAATGCATAACACCATTCACTTTGTTTTTTCTTTAGTCTATAACAATATTAGTTCACTCCGATTCAGCACATTACAGATTCCGAACCTATATCAAAAGAACAAAAAACTAAGATACATGAATTTTCTTTTCCTTTTTCCTACTTACATAAAACCAGCATGCATAGTCTTGTTGCATAGCCAACTGGGCATACGCCTCTTTGTGGATTGCAAGATTTGAAAGATTAAATACAATTAAAATAAAAAATCAACCAAATCAAGGCAAAAAAATATGTAATTTTGCGTCAATATTTCAACTAGTAAAAGTATAGTCAATACCTGGCCACTTGCATTGAGCCAAGTCAAGCAGATATTGTGGGTTGGTTGGCCACTTTAACTTGCTTTTTCCATGTCACTGTTTTAGCTACAATTTGCTTCAACTAATTGTGTACGTATATTCGATGCAAGCTTGTTCGTGAAGTACTCATACATCCCCATATACTTGCACCTTCATTGTGCTCCCATCTTTTTTGATATTACATTCCATTAACAAACCCCAAATAGTTGTGCTGCTTCTTGATTATTCAATCGCCTCTACGTTGATTTGAATATTAACATGCACTTTTATGCTTTGATTGCGGTGCTAATCTCATTACAACATTTCAACCCTTCTCTATCCCTTGGATTCGATGATAAAGTTTCTTCAGGAGAAGCACTTGGCCACGGTGATGCTTCTGGCGGAGTGGTGAGGTGCATAGAGAGGGAAAGGGAAGCACTCCTTGCTTTCAAACAAGGCCTCGTGGATGAATACAACCAACTCACTTCTTGGGGATCTCCTTATTGTTGCACATGGGAAGGAGTTTTCTGCAGCAACCAAACCAAAGGTGATCCTGTTATCAAACTTGATCTTCTACCATATGATTTGCAAGGTAAGACGATAAGCCCTAAACTGGTTGAGTTGCAGCATTTGAAATAATTGAGCCTCTATGGAATTGACTTCAATGGGAGCCAATTTCCAGATTTCATTGGTTCCCTATCCAATTTAAGATACCTCGATCTCTCTGACGCTTCTTTTGGTGGTCGAATTCCAAGTCAGCTTGGAAACCTTTCACACTTGCTACAACTCAATCTTGCCTACAACCACTTTGCTACTAATGTTGTGCAAAATCTCAATTCTTGGCTCCCTCGTCTTTCTTCATTAACACATTTGGATTTGAGTTACAACAATCTCAATAGCACTTACGACTGGCTTGAATCAATTAATAAGCTCCCTAAGCTAAGGGACTTTTCATTAAGGGATTGTTCTCTTCATTCTCCTCCAATGCCTTCCACTCTCTTTACCATAAATTCTTCTAAATATCTTGCTCATGCTGATTTCAGTTTGAACCGTCTCACATCTTCTTCAATATTCGTATGGTTGTCAGCCTACAGTACAAGCCTTATTTATCTTGACCTCATTGGCAACAATTTAACTGGTCTAATTCCTGGTGTTATTGGAAACATGACCTCGCTTTCCTATCTTGATCTCTCTTTTAACCAAATTGAAGGATGGAATCCGCATTCTTTTGCTAGGTTATGTAGTTTGCGATCGTTGGTCCTCAGGAGCAACAGAATGAGTGGACAATTTTCCCAGTGGGTTCAAATATTATTATTAATGTCTGCATGCGCTCAAAACTCATTAAAGTTTCTGGACCTCTCTTACAATCATCTTGTCGGGCCATTTCCTAATCTTATAAAGTTTTTGTCGTTGAAAGATTTAGATCTCTCTGGCAATCAAGTAAGTGGAATAATTCCTGAAACTATTGGGAAAATGTCTAAGCTCGAGAGTATCGACCTTAGTACGAATCATTTGGAAGGGGTGATTTCCGAAAGCCATTTCTCACGACTTGCCAGATTGAAATATTTGGATTTGTCCTTTAACTCTCTAGATTTAAACTTCCATTCGGATTGGATTCCTCCTTTCCAATTGGATTATATAATACTAGGTTCTTGCAAGGTAAGTCCAAATTTTCCACAATGGCTTCAAACTCAGAACTTTTATTCTAGACTTGATATTTCAAATGCTGGAATTTTCGATATCCTTCCAAGTTGGGTTTGGGGAGGAATGTCTCCTAATTTGGCCTTCATGAATCTCTCACACAATCAAATTGGAGGACCAATACTTGCAAATTTGACATTGGAGTTTGCATATTACCCTCAATTACATTTGATTTCCAACAAATTGGAAGGTCCAATCCCTCATTTCTATCACAAGCGTCATTCCTCGATCTCTCAAATAATAATTTTTCCGGGCCGATTACTTGGTTGCGTGCACCTACCGCATCAAGTTTAACCTTAATCTTTCAAGTAACAATCTCTATGGACAACTTCCGATTTCTTGACATATTTGGACAATTTGGTCATGCTCGATTTGAGTTACAATGCTCTTTCTGGAAAAATTCCTGCCACAATAGGCTCCTTATTTCGGATGGAAACGCTGAAGTTAAGAAGCAACAGGTTTTTGGGAGAATGGCCTTGCTCCACTTGCCAAGTTTATCAACGACAAAAGGACCGAAGAGGTAGATGTGCCTCTTCCTTCAACATCATTCCTAGCAGCACTGGAGCCACCAAGGCCATTGGAAAGTCAGGTTTGAGAAAGCTACAACATATGAACAGATCAAGGCTGCACTTTACAACCATTCATACAAGTTTCTCAATGGCTTTCCAAACCATGCATTATTCCCATTTGTTACAAGAGAAAACATGACTTGGTGGCAAGGCTTTTTCCAGGTGATCTTCATGCTCAATGTCTCTTATGATTATTATATGCTCAATCTTCTAGGAGAGCCTATGAGAGTTGTAAATTTCACAAACTTTGCTCAAATTTGTAAAACTTGGGAGGCTTCTGTTTGCACCTAATATGTGCACCATTTCACTTATTTAGATCATTTGGGTAAAATATGACATTTGAAGGATTAATGTGCAAGAAGGCTAACTTGGAAGATATTTAGCTATCAAGTGGGATAGTTTGGCATTAAAATAATGTTTTTCCCTTTTTATGTGGGTGGTGGAGGTTTGCCAAGAACTTTATTTAATCAAAACAAATGTTTGCTTATGGATTGGAAGATAACATGCAGACATGGACGTGGACATATGGATGAAACAAGCCACCTTGCTTCTTTTAAATGTTAGTTTATTGCAAGTGGTGGAGACATGTGGCGAAAACATGTAGTAGAGATACAAACTTGCTTATTTT